GGGGGGCTCGTTCACCCCTTCGTGGCCGGGCCCGGGGGGTCCCCGCGGGGCTTCGGGACCCCCGACCCCCCTCCAGGCCCGTTCCCCACCTTGAGCGGGCTCCCACCCCCCCGTCCCCTCCACCCGGCCGCGTCCCACCCTGCCGCTCGCGCCCTCCCAGTTCCGTACTGGTGCGTACTGGGAGCGGCTCCTGCGCCTTTAAGAGCGGGCGTGGCCGGTGACGTCAGCGGGGCATGAATGAACAGGAGCGGGCGCGCGCCCCACACCCCCCGCAGTCCCCGCGGGGCCGCCGCTCGTGGGGCGCGCCCGGGACCCCCAAAACCGCCCCGCCATGGCGGACAGCCCCCCGGCCCTCACCCTCCTCCTCCTCACCGCCCTCAGCCCCCTGGCCGCCGAGGAAGGTGAGTCCCCACTTTTTATTTTATTTTTTTTTAGGGGGGGGCAGCACCCCGAAACTCCTTTATTGCGGGCACCCCCAAGGGTGGGGTGGTTTTGGGGTGAATTCGGGCGGTTTGGGGGGAGCTGAGGAGTCCGGGAGCGCTCTGAGGGTAAAGGGTGATGTGGGTTCCCCCTTCCCCCACAGTAGTTTGGGGTGCGGTGGGGAAGCCGCAGGTGCCGGAGCGCGTTTGGGGTGGGGGGGGAAGGTTAAAATTAGGGGAAAAGTTGAAATGAGGGCGGAGAAGTTTAAATTAAGAGGGGGAAAGTTAAATTAAGGGGAGAAAGTTAAAGGGGGGAAGTTAAAAAGTTGTGTGGCGGGGTAAAAATACGGGGGGCTAGCTAAAATGGGGGGACGACTAGAACAGAGGAGAAAGAAATTTAAATGAGGAGGAAAAAAGTTAAAATGAGAGGAAACTCAAGAGTTTGGGGCAACTTTTTCCATGCCGAGCGTCCAACCGATGCATCGTGGCCAGGTCCTGCCAGGAGCCCCCAAAAGAGGCTGGCAGAGAGGTGAAGGTTGGGAGGATTAAAAAATAAACCCCAAAAAAAGGGAAAATCACCTTAAAATGGAGCGTTTCCCTTGGGTGGTGCAGGGTCGGGTAGGATCCGGCCAGAGAGCTGGAAAACAATGTCAGGAAAATCCCAAAAAATTGCTGGGAACAAACAAGCAGCGTCTCGGCGTCCACCTCGCAACCCTTCCTCCAGTGATTTTGGGGCTTAGTTTGGGAGGGTTGGGCAAAAGAAAAGGGGGAAATTCACTTTTTCGTGTATACCTGGAATTGTTTTAGAATTGAGTTTCTGTAAATTCTGACGGCTTTAATCCGTCACTTTTCGAGGGTAAAGTGGAAGAATCCATCCCTAAATGCAAATAAATCAGAGGCTGGGATGGAAAAGACTGCCTGAAAATTAAAAACGGGGTAAAAAACCCTAAAAGGAGGATTTTTGGAAGTGCTGGGGGGACAGCAGAGGGGGTGACCCTGTGGCAGCCGTGGGATTTGGGGCGTGTTCCCAAAGTGCTGTTTCCCAGGAGGGAATGTTGGGATTTGAGGTTTTAAAAGTGCGTGGGGGGAAAGGGAAAGTGGTGGGAGAGTGGCGGGATTTGGGGATTTCGGGGGGATTGGTTCCCCTCGGTGAGATCCAGTGGGATTTGGGGTGAGCTGAGGTGGGGAGGCGGTTAAAGAGGAGGGAATGGAGTGAGATTGGGACTGGGATGGGATCAATTTTGGGATGATGGTTGGGGTGCAGATTGAGATTAAAGAGGAGATGAGGATGGAGAGGGGATAGGATTCATTTTGGGATTGGGATTCTCGTTAAGGTTGAGATGGGGATGAGACTGGGATGGGGACAGGAACGGGGATGGGATTGGGGGGGGGGTTCACTTTGGGAATGGGATTCGGATTCAGATTCAGACAAAGATTGGGATCGGGATGGGGTTAGGGTAGGGGACAGGGACAAGATGCAGCAGGAATGGGATTGGGATTTGGGACGGGGGTGCCGCTCCGGAGCGCGGCGGTGACGCGGGGGGTGGTGACAGGGTTGGTGGCCACATCACGGTGGCACCGGAGATGGGGGCGGCCGTGGCCGGGTGACGAAGGCGACGGAGAATTTGATGATGATGATGATGATGATGATGGTGGTGGCGGTGGGTACAGGTGACTCCCGGGACGGGGCTGCGGCCCCGGCGCTGTCCCGGGAGCTCCCGCGGCTGCTGCGCCCCGGGACTGTCCCCAGAGCCACGCCCGGGGGCACCGGCAGGGAACCCCCGCCCGCTCCGGCTCTGGCTCCGGCAGCTTTCCGCTCTCCGGAGGCTCGCGGGGGGGATTTCCAGCCTCAGGAAAACCGGGATATCCGCCCCGGCATCCTTCCTGACCCCTGGCACGGCGCGGGGGGGACGCTGCAGCCACCCGCGTCCCCCCCGGGCAGGTTTTGGGGTTCCCCCCGGGCAGGTTTTGGGGTTCCCCCAGGCAGGTTTTGGGGTTCCCCCAGGCAGGTTTTGGGGTCCCTCCCGGGACACGCCACGAGCCCGTCCGTGCTCAGCCGTGCGGAGCCGGGGGGGCCCATCCCTCCCGACATCGCCCCGTCCCGCCGGACCCATCTCGCCGCTGATCCCGGGCGTCCGGGCACATTCCTGGGGGGTGATTCACCGGGGGGCCCCGCTCCCTCCCCGGCCTCCTCTTCCTCCTCTTCCTCTCCCGGCGCTGGATCCGGCCGCCGCCCTCGGCGTGCCAGGGCAGGTCCCGCCGGGCCCCGCGGCTTCCCCGCCTCTGCGGGCGGCCCCGGGGCTCCGTCCGGCGGAATCTGCCCGCAACGGGGGATCCGTGGGCCCAGGGGGACTGGGACTGTTTGGAGGTCCTGGAGACGTCTGTGGGAATGGGGTGGGTCCGTGGGTGCTGGGGGTATCCAGGAGTCTTGAGGACATCCATGGAATCTCCTGGCATCTGTGGGTTCCAGGGATATTTAAGTGCCCAGGACATCCAGGGGTCCTGGTGGGATATCTGGGCATGGACACACAGGTCCCAGGGGTATCCCTGGGTCCCGATGGCATCTGTGG